TCGCCGCGGCCGCCTCCTCCCCTCCATGCTCGCCGTCCTCGCCGCCGCTGCTGCTCTCTTCCTCCTGGCCGTCCTCCGCTCCCCGCCGACCCCGTCCCCCAACCTCGGCTCCCTCTTCCTCTCCCTCGGCTCCAACAACACCGCCGCCTCCCACCTCCGCGCGCTCACCCTGCACCCCCACGTCACCGGCACCAAGGCCAACTCCCTCACCGCCGCCTACGTCCTCCACGCCTTCTCCTCCCTCTCCATCATGTCATCATTCTTATTGCATTACTCTGTTTCTCCGTGAACTTAATACACTAGATGCATGCTGGATAGCGGTCGATGTGTGGAGTAATAGTAGTAGATGCAGGCGGGAGTCAGTCTACTAATCTTCGACGTGATGCCTATATATTGAACATTGCCTTGGATATTGTCATAATTATTCGATCTTCTATCAATTGCCCAATAGTAATTTGTTTACCCACCGTGTTCTATTTCTTGAGAGAAGCCACTAGTGAAATCTACGGCCCCCGGGTCTATTCTTTATCATATTTGCTTTGGGATCTATTTTCATTTGCTTTTTTTTAGATCTATTATTCCAAAAACCCAAACATACCTTGCTGCACCTTTTTATTACTTATTTTATTTTGTGTTTTATCGAGATCTATTTATCCAATCTACACAAATTTTATCCCGTCAACTTGACAATTTATGGCGTTGTTACCCGAAGAGGGATTGACAACCCCTCATACGCGTCGGGTTGCAAGTATTTGTTCTTTGTGTGCAGGTAGCGTTTACATAGTGTTGCTTGGTTCTCCTACTGGATTGATACCTTGGTTTCACAACTGAGGGAAATACTTACCATAGTTGTACTGCATCATCCCTTCCTCTTTGGGGAAATACCAACGCAGTTTCAAGCAACATCATTACCCTTCGTGGGTTGAAGTCTCCATCAACATGGACGTACAACGGCACCACCTATCGGAACCACGCCAAATATCTCCATGTCTCCATTGCGTTTGCCTTCTCCAAACCCTTCCCTTTACCTTCCTATGCAATGTTTTACTTTCCGCTGGTATACTCTTAGAATTGCATGTGTAGGTTGATTGCTTGACTTGTCACAATTGCGAAAATCTTTCTACAACTAAAATTGGGAAAAGGAAAGATTTTTAGTTTGTCAAGTAGTCTAATCACCCCCCCCCCCTCTAGACCTACTTCCGACCCAACATTGTGTCATGCCTGTTTGGCAGGTGCTACGCATGAGAGATCTTCCATAGTCTTCGTGTCTGGATGGATGAGCGCAGGGCAATGGCATCATTGGGCGCCGTGGCGGCGTTGACGGATGGCCGGACTGGCAAGGATGATGCAGATCTCTCTCCTAAATATGGGTCAGCGGTTCGATGATGATGGCGGCTTCTAAAACGTGTGCATGTGGTGTACGCTTTAGGTCTTCTACACAGGCTATTGGTTCCGTTACGTTATGTGGATGGATCGGGGACGACACCGGTTTTAGATATGGGGAGTGAGAGCACTCCACATTATCGAGTTTGTACATGTGAGTGGTGGCTTCGGGTGGCTTTTATGTATTTTCTTGTCAGACCTTTGTTGAATAATTAATAAAGATGGTCCTGTGCATCGACTGATGCAGAGGCCGGGGGTTTTAACCTCCTTTTCTAGAAGAAAAAAGGTGCACTATGCTACCGACTGTATGGGTCTGAGTCAGATGTCGTAGGTTGTTTTGTGTTCAGTGGCATATAAGGGCATTTCTAACCGATCCCCTAAAATATTGGAGGATCCGGCGGAGTAAACCCTTCATGGAGTATGATTTGACCGGACCTAGCCAATCCCCTATATATAACAGAGTATTTTTTGTCTTTTCTAACTTTGCAATTATAGTATACATTGCAACTACATATGATCACACATATAGAAACTAAACATAATATGATTATGTTCAAGCAAATCATGAATATAGTTTACACACCGAATTTTAAGTTAACAAACCAAATTATTCAAATTTGAACACACCGAATGGTCCAAATGTAGAAAATAACATGTGACAGAACAACTAGGACTCTCTATGACGTCGTCAGTGATGCTCAATAAGATCTTGTTGGAGCTGAGCATGGACTTGTCGGTTCTTGATCTTGTGATACCCTTCAAGGAATGCCAGGATCCTGTTCGTATCATATTCTGGCTCAGCCAGTGTCCCATTGGTGATGCACCGAAAGTTCTCAGACATATCCCTCTCGTCTTCAATGATCATGTTATGCAATATGATGCAATAAGTCATGATCTTCCATAGAACCTTGGACCTCCAGTACTCGGTAGGATCACGAACAATTGCAAAGCGCTTCTGAAGCACACTGAAGGCTCTCTCCACATCTTTCCTGGCAGCTTCTTGACATTTGGCAAATTGAATGTTTTTGTTACCTTTCGGACGTAGAATTGTTTTGGATAATGTGGCCCATGATGGATAGATGCCATCCGCAAGGTAGTAACCCATCTGTAGTTGTGCCCTTTGACCGAGTAGTTTCAAGCAGGAGTATCTCCTGTAATAAGCCTAGAAAACAACAGTGATCTCAAGAGCACATTCAAGTCATTATTCGAGCCAAGCAAACCAAAGAATGAATGCCATATCCAAAGATCCTTCATTGCAACTGCCTCAAGAACGATCGTTGGATGGTTGCAGTGGCCTTTTTAATGAAGCTTCCATCCCGTAGGATGATTATTCCATGCCCACTGCATACAGTCAAGTGATCCAAGCATCCCTGGACATCCTCTTGCGAGCGTGGGTTAAGGGCCACCATTGTCATGTCCCATCAAAAAAGGGATCATGTGCATCGATACGCATGGTAATTAATGGCCACTCCCACGATCCTCGCAAGTGATTAACAATTCCCATGATAAGGAAAACACGATCATAGTCATCAATACATGGGCTAGTCCTGGAGGCATGACTGGGGATTCATTTGGTCCACTGAATCACATATTCCAGGATCATAGTAGTTATAGCATATAATATAAACTCTTAATTATGAACAGAGAAATATAATAATACAATATTATTGCCTCTAGGGCAAATTTCCAACACTCGACTTCTCACAAGCGTCTGGATGTATCCATGTTGAATCGTAGTCCGGAAACATTCCCGCGCAATTGAGTCGCGAAATATTCCCACGCTCGGGATCCGATGAAGATCTAGCAGGGCTTTATCAGCAGGGATTACTCTTATCTATGGGCCGACCGAGCCATGTGGCGCTATTGGCCCAATTATCAATCTGTCGTGCGAGCGTGGGTTAAGGGCCACCATTGCCGTGTCCCATGAAAAAAGGGATCATGTGCATCAACATGCATGGTAATTAATGGCGATGCTCGATCCCCGCAAGCGATTAACAATTCCCATGATAAGGAAAACAATATCATAATCATCAATACATGAGCTAGTCCTGGAGGCATGGCTGAGGATTCACTTGGTCTTTATAACTCCCCACATGTAATTGAGTTTTCCCCGGAATCTCATATTCAAGAACCAATACAATAATATCGCATAAATATAAACTGAAGTATGAACATGGAAATATAATTATACATTTATTATTTCCTTTAGGACATATTTCCAAGACCAGGGCTAAGCGAACGCAAGGAGGGCACTTGATTTGGGTGTTTATGCCCGGTCAAATTAGGGTGTCAATATTGGGTTGGGTTTAGGTGTCGATATTGGGATCGATTAAGGGTTTGATAGGGCTCTAATTGGGCATGTGCATGTTGGCATGAAAACTCTTAATCTTGTTGTACGATTTCTAATGGCAAGATCAGGAGTTTGCTTATATGGTAGTGCGGTAGTTTCAATGTTTTCCATGTCAATGGTAGTTGGCTATACGTGTTAGTTTGTTGATCTTCATGATCAGTCCATGCTACATGTTCATTCATTGATCTTGTTCATGTCATCATTGCAGTGCTCTGTTGGGAAGCTTGTGCTCAGCAATGTTGCCGAGGGTAACTGGTCGAAGGGCAAGGAGGTGGCAGAGGTCAGTGCGTCAAAGATGCTTCAGGTCAAGGCGGCGAATTTCGGCCATTTTCGTGAGGATGCAGGTCCAACGGACTTCTATAAGGTGATCTTAGCGCATGTGTTGGAATTACCGCGAATCCCCGATGGCTTCCGTAAGCACATGACCAACATTGCACCGAAAGTCGTTCTGAGGACACCGGCTGCAACTAGAGGGTCACGCTCCGGGAGGTCAACTGAAGGTTAGCCCTTGATAATGGGTGGGTGGGCTTCGCCGCAGCTCACCAACTGAAGGTGGGTTACCTCGTCACCTTCAAGGCGCACAACCTCAACCTTTTCGATGCAAGAGGTGGTGGCCAAGTGCAAGAAGCACGACGAAGCACTTGCCTTGATCCTGGATGTTTAATGTGTTTTATTTAGTCCGTATGTTGTGTCTAATATAGCTATCTGCTTAGGCCGTGTTTTTATTATGACCAATCTTATTATTGTAGTCCCAAATGTAGTGTGAATAGTTGTTTAAATTGCTCTGTTCTGCATATAAGTGTGTGTCCTTGTAACCTCATCACTGGAACGAAAAGTTAACACACCACATATCTTGCACGTAACCACAGGTGCTTACAACTAAATTGCGTGCTAGTGGTTCTCCTATAATACAGGCTGGCGTTTTATGAATAACCAAATTAAATATAAAATCCCTGACAAAAATAAATAAACATAGAATATGGTTTTCAGCATGCATTAGGTGAGCGTGACCGAACCGAGCGAAGGAGGCCAAAAATGATGCCGTGGTACGTAGTGTTGCCGCACGGCCGGCAGGTGCAGCGCTAGCATTGCCATCGCGCAATACAAGACGTCGCGATCGCCGCAAGTTAAGAAACGGCAGGCGGCCATCTCGGTGGTGTGGACAGAGCAAAGCAGAGCACCCATCATCACTTCAAATGCAGCTAGTCGTTACCACTGACCCCTTCCCTGCATCCGCTCTCCCTCCCAGCTACCCCCGTCTCCCGCCATGTCCCGCCCCGACGCCGCCTCCCTCCTCTCCCCCTCGCCTCCGCCGTTCAAGCCCCATCGCCGCGGCCGCTTCCTCCCCTCCATACTCGCCGCCCTCGCCGCGGCCGCCGCTCTCCTCCTCCTGGCCGTCCTCCGCTCGCCGCCGACCCCGTCCCCCAACCTCGGCTCCCTCTTCCTCTCCCTCGGCTCCAACAACACCGCCGCCTCCCACCTCCGCGCGCTCACCCTGCACCCCCACGTCGCCGGCACCAAGGCCAACTCCCTCACCGCCGCCTACGTCCTCCACGCCTTCTCCTCCCTCTCCATCCCGTCGCACATCACGCCCTACTCCGTCCTCCTCTCCTACCCCGTCCACCGCTCCCTCTCCCTCTCCGCGGGGCCCGGCCGCGCCGCCAAGCCCTTCTCCCTCACACAGGACACCTACCCCAGCGACCCCTACGCGCGCGCCGCGGCCGAGGTGACCCCGACCTTCTTCGCCTACTCCGCCTCCGGGTCGGTGTCCGCGGAGGCCGTGTACGCCAACTACGGCCGCGAGGAGGACTTCGCCTACCTCGCCTCCCGCGGGGTCGACGTCGCGGGAAAGGTGGCGCTTGCGCGGTACGGGAGGATCCACTGCGAGGACATCGTGCACAACGCGCGCGCGGCGGGCGCCGCGGCCGCGCTGGTGTACCCCGACCCGCTGGAGTACGGCGGCCCGGCCGGGGAGGGGACGTTCCCCGACTCGCGGTGGCTGCCCCCGAGCGGCGTGCAGGTGGGGAGCCTGTTCCGGGGCGTGGGCGACCCGACGACGCCGATGTGGGCGTCGTCCGAGGGGTGCGAGCGCGTGAGCGTGGAGGACGCCATGGCCACCGACGACATGCCGGGCATCCCGGCGCTCCCGGTGTCGGCGCGGGACGCGGCGGAGATCCAGCGGGTCCTGGGCGGGGCCGAGGCGCCGGCGGGCTGGCAGGGCCAGGACGGCAGCCCCGCGTACCGGCTTGGCCCAGGGCCGGCCGTGCTGAACCTGACGTATCAAGTACGTTAAATTCGAGGCGCTTTTGTCTCGTTTGCCAGATTCTTTTTCAGGTGCGATTGTCGTATGATGCTTTTGCTTGGAATTTGCAGGGCAATGATACGATGGCGACGATTGAGAATGTCTTCGCGGTGATCGAAGGCGCAGAAGAGCCGGACAGGTAACTCATTATCTCTCATCCTGCATCATCAACCATCATCAAGTACTAGTAGTGTAACTTTTCGGTTTTAAAATGCCTCCGCTGCCTTGTCGCGGAAGCTTCTATTAGACTGCAAGTTGAAGTAAAATATGCATCGTGCCTGAGCACTTCCAAATACCGAGCACTGCTTTTGGACCATTCGTAGACCTTCAGCTTCAGGTGTAGCTAATTTCACCCCGTAAGATATATGATATTCCTGTCAAGTGCATCTTATTTTGCTTGCTTGGTGCATCCAATTCTTTTTTTTAATTGAATAACCTAGTCAAGTGGCACGATTTCCTAATTCCCATACCACTTTGGGCTCCACTTTACTGATCAGAAAGTTCTCCGGCTACGCCCTTTCTATATTTCAAAACGGTGCATCTGATCTGCTCCTATTCAGATTCAACTACTCCAGCTTCATACTATCAATCTGAATTCTCAAATGGCTATGGGGGCACTTGATTTGTGCTTTGTATATAGAAATTTGATCTGTTGCTTATTCTCGAATGGCTATGGGGTACACAAGTCCGACTTGCATTTTATTTTATTTTATTTTGCTCAAGCTAGCTTGCTTGGAAGCAAACAATTTGATCCAACTTCGTCATGGTTTGGTACAACGATATTACAGACGTGCCAATCTGCAGTTAGGAGAAGCAGTTCCAGTCTTATTTATTTACTATGAAGGATGTGACTAAGCTAACCAATTTTAACTTTTCATGACACAGATATGTTATCCTGGGAAACCATCGCGATGCCTGGACGTTCGGAGCCGCCGACCCCAACAGCGGAACAGCAGCTATGATCGAGGTGATTCTTGTGTTATAACATACTCCCTCCGTCCGGAAATACTTGTCATCAAAATGAATAAAAGGAGATGTATCTAGATGTATTTTAGTTTTAGATACATCCCTTTTTGTCCATTTTGATGACAAGTATTTTCGGACGGAGGGAGTATGTTCTCTAAGCAATCCAGTAGGCTGTTCTTTTCTCTGAACTCTGCACCGTGGCATAATACACTAATACTGACCGCCTTTTCTGAATATCGGAATTGACTTATCAGCACAAATCTTGAACATGCTAACTTCACTTGCTGTCCATCTAGCTAGCACAAAGGTTTTCGATGCTGCAAAAGCAAGGGTGGAGACCTCGAAGGACAATCATTTTCTGTAGCTGGGATGCAGAAGAGTACGGATTGGTAAGTCTCTCTCTTCGAGCACAACATTCGTTTGTTATACACACGTACACGTAGGCACCTTACAAGCAGCTGCAATGTTGATCACAATTTACGTTTATGCAGACAGGATCAACTGAATGGGTTGAAGAAAACAGGGAGATGCTTTCCTCAAGAGCTGTTGCATATCTGAATATTGATGTTTCGGTAGTCGGTCCGGTTTTACTCCCATCTACAACTCCCCAACTGGATGAGCTACTCCTTGAAACAATTAAACTGGTACGCACATTGTTCCAGAGAAAAGTACTCTCTCCGTCCCATAATATAAGAGCGTTTTTTTATACTAGTTTGGTGTCAAAAAGGCTCTTATATTATGGCACAGAGGGGGTAACATATTTACATACAAAAGAGTCCTAACTGATAGTCAGTTATTTGATTTTGGTCATACAAAAGAGTAACTGTTGAGTGGTCAACACTGAACAGTGGGTGCCTCAACTTTGAACCACATGCCTGTGACAATTTTTTTTTTTGAACAAATGCCTGTGACAATATCATGCTTATGCTATTTTTCTTATTAATAACAAGATGTTCAAAAATTCAAAACGTTCTGTTTTTTTCAATTCAAAGGTTCAAGATCCCGACAACTCATCTCAGACGGTGTATGATGCATGGGTCAAATCCAATGCTTCTCCCAAGGTGAGTTGTAACATGACTTCCTTATACAGCTAGCACACCGTTATCACTTGCGGTATATAGTACTGATTGCTGTCAAACTCTGGGTTCCTTTGTACATAAAATGAAACCTGCAGCTTCGGGGTTTCATTTCTGAATCTTCATTTTTAAATTTCAGCTCCAACTCTGAAAATGTTCCTAGCTTTTTACTGTAGTTAACGTATATTGTCTCTGATATCCTGCATGAAGATTCAACGACTGGGCAATGGAGGATCAGACTATGCAGCATTCGTTCAACATGTTGGCATTCCATCAACCAACTTGATATTTGGAGAAGGTAGGGGCGCACTTCTTGTTCTTTATTCTTGCGGTTTCTCGTATGTCTAATGGTGCTCCTTGGACATTGACAGGGCCAGGATATCCTGTTTACCACTCTTTATACGATGATTTTGTATGGGTGGAGAAGTTCGCGGACCCTGGGTTCCGTAGGCATGTCGCAGGTGCAGCCCCGTATTCCTTTTGTGCTGTGTGTTACTCCCTCCGTTCACAAATATAAGTTGTTCTAACCTTTTTCTGAACCGGATGCACATAGACATGTTTTAGTGTGTTTGTTCACTCATTTCAGTTGGCATGTAGTCCATATTGAAATATCTAAAACATCTTAAGTTTGTGAACGGAGTGAGTAGTACTTGGTAGCTTCACAGCATAACCTAACATTATCATCTCACAGCTGCTAGCATCTGGGGAATTATGGCTTTGAGACTTGCTGACGAAGAGATCATACCGTTCGATTACATGTCCTACACCACCGAGCTTGAGGTAACACCGTCCAATGAACGCAGTAACATTCGCAGGCAGGGGCATACAAAAAAGGAAGATCGCTCCAAGCCTTATGAACTTGAATTGTTTCCTCTTGTTTTTTTTTCTTGTCAGGCATACACAAAAGTAGTAGAGAAGGAAACCGAGGGCACGGCTGTCAGTTGCTCCCCGTTGTACAACTCAATCAGAGCTCTGAAAAAGGCAGCTACCAAAGTTAACAGCGAGCGAAAGGTAACTCAGTTGCTTCAGAATTGCCGCTCAGCCAATACAATCTTGGATATGCTAGCTTTTTAACTTCAGAAATTTTGTCAGGAAATTCAAAGGGAGCTGTCAAGCAAGCAGCTGAGCAAGGGCTCGATGAAGATCCGGGGGCTTAACGACCGGCTCATGCAGGCAGAGCGAGCCTTCACTAACCGGGAAGGCATCTTCAAGCAAGCCTGGTACAAGCATCTGGTCAGTGAACAACTCATCCACACCTTTCTCTTCCGTGCGATTCACCGCGGTATCTCGTGATCCCCCGGTTCGTAGTTGTGGCCAGTTCTGATTTGCGAGTGTCGCCTGTTGCAGATCTACGGACCATCGGAGCAGAACGACTGGGACACCGCGTCGTATCCTGGTATAGCCGACGCCATAGCCACCGCGAGGAGCAGCAACACCTCGGCGTCCTGGAAGCTGGTGCAGCACGAGGTTCACAGGGTCGCCAGGGCCGTGGCACAAGCATCCGCCGTGCTCAGCGGAAGCCTCACATGACAGGATCACAGTCCGTCAGCAATGGAAAGAGCATCAAAATTGTTTCAGGCCGTGCATAATCATGCCGGTGCCGACTATTAATCCTCTGGGGAATATGTTTCAGGCCGTGCCTCGTATCATGCCCATCAATCTGCGCATGATGCGACCCATGTACATATGCTTTGGATAGATGCGTGTATGCAGTTCATTCAGTTGATGAGCTGCAGCAGTGCATTCAGTTGATGAGCTGCAAAATTATGTAATACAGACCAGGGCACCTACTGTATTGTACAGATTGAAGTTTGGTGAACCTGCTGATGTTTTTTAGGAACTTCAGGTAACTGGGGGCTGTTATCCGGCGGGTCATCTCGATCCGGTCGGTTTAGCTTTTCGGTGAATCCGTCTGAATTCGACTGGTGCTTGTGGTCTTTGAAGTTTCTACAGATCCTTATCGGTGTTTTCTTATCTAGTGTGACGATTTGCTTCGCTGGTTGTGGCCGTCAGCATTTCCTGGTCCGCATCGAGGACTCACCGGCCATTGCTTCTACAATTTTCTGGGTTTAAAAAGTTTGCTCCGTCGAGGCGAAGTCCCACATGCTGCAACGAGCCGTTGCTCCGTCGAGGCGAAGTCCCACATGCTGCATCGAGCTATGCGGCGCACCGCTGATGAACGCATATGAGGAAGAAGACTTCGGCACCCCTAAGAATTTGAATGTAATTTTATTTTTCTGTATGGGTGTGTTTGTAAGGACATTTGAAACTTAATACATTTGGCATTGGGCATTTTCGCAAAAAAGGAAAATCATGGGGTTCTCATCTCTTTTTTTAGCAGTACGGGGTTGTTATCTGCGCAGCGTCCAGTGGCTCACCTCGCTCCACCCGAGCCGACCCAATGAGTACACTAATGCTTTTTTCGATTTTAAGTTAATTTTTTGCCATCTGCAAAAGAAAAGTTATTGCTTTTTTGTTTTATTTCATAGGAGTATTTTACTTTATTTTATTTTCACTCTTTCGTTTTACTTTCTCCCCTTTTATATATATTTCGAAAATATCTTAGGTCAGAGAATTAGTTCATGTAATTTAAGCTGGTTACCTGTATTTTTTCCATCATGTACTAATAAAATATTTTAAAATAATGTTTGTGTATTTTCAGAAAAGTGCATGCATTTAAAACAATGTTCATGCAATTTAAAAAAAGCATTGATGACATTTAGAAAATTTATTCATGAATTTTTTTAGAAAGTTTATATCTTTTAGATAATTTTTAAATGATTTGTTAAAGTTTTCAAGTCTTATTGAAAATGTCAATGTAGTTTATGATAAAAACAATGTATTTTCCAAAAAATGTTCATGCAATTTGAAAAAGTTCATGTAATTTTGATATGTGTCGTGTCATTTTAAAAAACATCATATATTTTTAGAAACTATTCATGTGTTCACAAAAATGTTCATGTGTTTGTCATAAAATAAATAAATTTCTTTTCAACAATAAGAAACCATGAAATTAAATTGAGAAATGGAAAAAAATAATAAAAAAGAAAAAAGAAAATAAAAGATAACTAGAGAAAATAAAATAAAAAAGAACTAGAGTAGAAAACAAAAATGATGGTAATAGGACAAAAGAACAGAAAAGAAAAATGAAAATAATAAAGATAGAAAATAAAAAAATAAAACAGAAACCTAGAAAAAACCCGAAGCCAAATCAAAAGAAAACATGAGGAAACCAAAAAAGAAGAAAATCCCTAACCATGTGTCGCCTTATATGTAAGTCCCCGGCCAAACCCACTTATTTACCCACCGGTTCCTTGCCGCTTGACTACCACCCAGGATTTGACTGGCCTCATAGACCAACACTAATCTTTTCTGCATTTTTTGTCCTCATTTGTGCGTGCCCAAAATCAACTTCCAGGTCAGTTACTCATCCTTAAATTGCTCCAAGACAAGCACACTGAACTTTGAAATTTCTCTCGGATAAGTTTTTCAAAAAGAAGATGCATCTTGTTATTTATGTGAATGGTACATCATTTCTATTAAGCTGAGATGTCACATTAGAGCAGCCACAATGTAGAATTTTATGGCCTCCATACTTGCCTAAGGCTTTGGAGGCCGTCGTTATACACTGCAAGGTTATCCTCTAAGCAAGAGTGTTCTAGCATTGTCGCTAAGGCTAGAGGCTGCCTCCAAGCCATTTCCTTTAACCATAGTTATTTAGGATAGTAAAACTGAACATAATATCAGCCCTCTCATGCCATCAGACTTTTGGACCATCAGATCTCACATCCCGATAGTTACTGGTCGTCCGATCTGCCATTAGCTCGCGCACTGGGCCATATGTCCTAAAGTTTAGCTACTTCGCAAGAAAATCCGAAGCCCGTGGTTTATTGGGCCGTCTGCCTCACAAAGCCCATTTTCCAGCCTCATAAATCATGTAGCTGAGCTATGTGTACAAAAACTGTTGAAAAAAGCAATACTTTAAACTATATGGGCTCCACCTTAAAGGCTAGATGTAGATGTAGATACCATACACTACACTCTTGTCAGCATTGCTTGAAGGCAATGTCATGAGACCCACCTTAGAGGCAGTAGCTCTTCTAAACATTGTTGATGCTCTTATTGGATCTCAGCTTTTGTGCACAATCCTCCTTATTATGGTACATAACAATTCAGGATACAACCATTATTCAAGGGAGCAACTATATTGAGAAGATAGTCGGGTACCCTTTCGGGGGACTACCAAGCGGACGCATGCGGACGCGTTCCAGCAGCCACGTGGTGCGCCCCAATGCCGCCACATGTCCCACGCCCTGCGGAACACGTTTTTTCACGTGTTTTGGTGTTTTTTCAACAAAAAGAATTTAGGTATTTCGTGTTTTTAGATTTTTGCTTGTTTTCTAGGGTTTTCAAATATTTTATTTTTTTGTTTTCTTCCCTCTATTGAAACCAACGGAAAAAATAGCACACTATTTTCATGCTATAGCGTATTTGGAAGGGGCACGCTATGTTTGATCATTTTTGCTCGCTATGGCACTATTCGCGTTATAGCGCGCTATTTCCACGCTAAAAGAAGTTGTAGGGTTGTAGCGTTGCCACAACCTAAGAGAAAACAATAGTCGAGCACCGGCGGCCCAAAACTACCCCTCGGTCAGCCACATGCCCACATCCCACACCCGTCTCATTCTCAATCTTAGATGGTCAGACCTAATGAAAAACCAACCCCAGCTCATACACCCTTCCCATAAGAGCTGCACCAGCGGCAGTGTCTTCTCATGAGCGGCAACGGCAGTGGCTTCCTCCGGCTCGACTCCAGCCAACACTGGAAGGGACGATCACTAGTAGAAAACAGGGCTTTGGTCTAGGCAGGGAAAGCCCATTAATCCCGGTTCACCCATGAACCGGGACCAATAGAGACATAGGTCCCAGTTCATGAGTGTCGGTGTCAAAACCGGTGAATCTTGGGTAGGGGGTCCCGAACTGTGCGCCTAGGATCGATGATAACAGGAGACTGGGGACACGATGTTTACCCAGGTTCGGGCCCTCTCTATGGAGGTAATATCCTACTTCCTGCTTGATTGATCTTGATGAATACGAGTATTACAAGAGTTGATCTACCACAAGATTGTAATGGCTAAACCCTAAAAGTCTAGCCTATATGGGTATGGTAATGAGTATACGTGGTGTCCTTTCCGGACTATCCCCTTCGGTTTATATAGACACCGAGGGGATCTAGGGTTTACATGTAGTCGGTCACATAAGAAAGAATCTTCGGTCGCCAAGCTTGCCTTCCACGCCAAGTAGAGTCCCATCCGGACATGGTGCAGTCTTCGGCCTTCATGTCTTCACAGCCCATCAGTCCGGCCCAAAGGACAACAGGCCGGACGCCCGAGGACCCCTTAGTCCAGGACTCCCTCAATGAGGCCAGGGCGCGGACCGGGCCTCGGGGGCCATTGGTCCCGGTTCGTCTGAGACCATTGGTCCCGGTTTCAAACACAAACCGGGACCAATGGACCTTGCTCCTGGCCCACCACCTTTAGTCCCAGTTGGTGTCTGGAACCGGGACCAAAGCTGTTTTTTTACCCAAACAAAACTATAATATTCTACAATAGCAAAAATAATAAACTAAAACAATAAAGTAGAAAACTTTAATGAAACTCTAATAAAAAAGAATGAGCTAGAAAACTTTCATGAAACTCTAATAGCAAAAGGAATCAACTAAAAAGCTTTTATAAACCTCTAGTACTATTGAAACGAAAATTATAAAAAATTTATGCAACTAAAATTATCAAAGTATTTTCTGTTCAAAATATTATAAGCAAAAAGAATTTTCATAAAGATCTTTTTTGTTAGAAACTTTAATAGCAAAAAGAATTATCATAAAGATTTTTTGTTAGAAACTAAAATAACAAAAACTATTTTTGAATATGATAATAAAACACAATAATATTAAATAGCAGGAAAAAAGAATCACTTCAAAAACTATTTTTATAGTAAAGTTAATCACAAACTAGTGATTCACAAAAATTTCAAATAATTCAAATTTAAAGTATTCAAATTTGAAAACTAATGGTACTAAGAGAAAGTTTATAATTTTTCTGACCTAAAAGCAAAAAGAATTAAAAAATAAAGCAAAAAATAAATAATGAAAAAAACAAAACAAAAATACGGAACAAAAATAAAAAATGCCGCCTATTGGACCATCATTGCCTGAATACGACTACAAAACCAACCAGCCTGTTGGGCTAGGATTCAGACCCACAGAAGGCCCAGCAGGCCCACAGGCAGATACAAAGTGGTTCGGCCCATAAGCCTACTTTGGAGAGGAGCTCGAATGCTCAGGCGCACCGAGCCTTATAAACAGGTGTGGCGCTCTCTCAACTAGCGAGGTGGGACTAAACTCCCACCACGCCGATGTGCAAGGCCATTGGTCCTGGTTGGTGCCATGAACCGGGGCCAATGCCCCCATTTGGTCCCGGTTCTTGGCACGAACCGGGACGAATGTACCCCTTTGGTCCCGGTTCGTAACA